GTGTTGATCTAGCAGGTGGCTTCCGGCGATTACAAACAAAGGCGGTCGACTTAGTCAAGACGGAGATCCTGGCAGACGCGCGATATGCAGAATGCCGACCAAGACTCCGACGAGCACCACCGGCGCATTTCACGCACTTCCATCAATGGGAGGTTGGCGAAATTGACCAGGCGCATGCACGACGCAGGACTTCCTGCAATGCAAGACGGGCGCGGCCAGGTCACGACAAACCTGCTTAAATTCGTCACCCTTTTGCAACAGCGTGGGGCCGCAGTATTTGGTCGTAAAGATATAGACGAATCTGCGCTTCGGGCATGGTTAACGCTTGCTGACCAGATTGGCCCTCGACGGGAAGCTGTTCTTGCTTGGGCCTGGCGCCTGAGCGTCCGCGACGTGCAGCGAGCCCTCAGGCTGGCAGGCAACTCGCGGCCAGGTCCAGATAGAGTGTCGTACCCCAACTATGGCGACGACTAGGCCCCCTCGCTGTGCGCGCTCTTTGGACGCGGGGCGCATGTTGGAGCACGGACCGACATCCTGAGTGTATTTTCGCGATGATTTCAACTAGTCGGTGCTATGCTGTTTGACGAAGAAGCCTATCTGGAAGGAGCCCGACGGCGCGGATATCCATGATCCTCAATGCGCGCGGCCTCTCAGCATCACTGAGACAGCGAACGGTGTTATCGCAGGCGCCTATAGGATTCGGTTGGCTCCTGTCTTGGAACCTCGGATGTCTCGATCGAGCACGAAAGCGATGATAGCCTCGTTATCACGCGAGGACTCCGCGATCATCCTGTTTGACTTCGCGGCGGCATTTCCGAGCATCTCCTGGCAGTATTTGAGGGCGGTGGCGGTTGTTGCATGACTGCCCGTGTTCGCTATGAACGTTCGGCACTCTTTCTGTTGCAGCAAGGTTGGAAGGCAACGGATCCATGGGCACATGTGCGGCATGGTGCTTTTTGAGGCTGGGATTCGGCAGGGGTGCGCTTTTTCATCTTTACTGTTTGCCCTTGCTTCCGGCAGCTTACTGCGGATTCTCGGGCAGCGGGTCCAGGCGCAGCGGCGCGAGCTTTTGCTGATGACAACGCAATGGTATGGCGCGGTCTTGGAGCAGGCAACATAGGCGTGACATCCGGAATTTCAGGATCTTCGAACAAGTATCGTTCCTGTCCGTTGTCATATCAAAAACGGTAATCGTATTGTTTTGGGAAGTGGACGTGGCGAGCATTCGGCGCTATGCAAGACGATCCAGAAACCCCTTGGGCGTACGCATTGGACCAGGAAGCGGGATGCAACGGCTGAAACCAGCGGCAACGTAACGAGCGCGTATCCAGAAACTAGCCCTGGAGCGAAATTGGCCCTCATTCGGCGATTGACACATGCAATGTGTGCGTGCTGACAATGCTCCTTTTGTTTCTCAGGTGGAACCCCCTCCAGATGACATTTCGAAACCAGAAGTGTCGCAGCTCCCCGGATCGCTCCAGGGCCTCGCGCCTGATGTATTCCGTCGGATTTGCGGCGTGGTCCTGAATTTGGTCTTGATTCTCGCATGCGACCCCTTTACGAAGCGTGCTTGGCAGCCGTGCTGCGGATGCATGCCTGGGAATCCCACGAACATAATCAGATTCCATGGTTGCGTCGCCGCCTGGACCTGACCGCCGCGAGATGGCAGAGCGATCGCCTTGTCAGGGCCGCCCATTGGGATGGATGGCGCGAGAAGCATGTTCCCAGTGGTCGAGAAGATTGGGGACAAGGCAGCACAGGGAGGAGTTGACATCGGCAACGCCAGACGGGAAATCACGGGGCAGCCGTCCGGTCCATTGGCAGTGCCTTTGTTGCGGAAGTTCAAAAAGCGCACGCAGGCATGGTTCAGAAGAAAGCTCTGGGCAGTTCAAGGGCGCGACCCTGTCCAACGAAGTTGATGCAGCATTATGCGATGGAGCTTGGCTGGGCCACCCGGCGCGGTTCCACGGCGCATTCGTAATCAACTCCAGAAGTTGCATGCCGCCAAGGATCCGGGCTGCAGTTTCGAGTACTTTGTTCAATCGTTCGGCCACTGGTCGCCGTATACGCGGAATGCGAAGCCGAGAAGGCACATGCTTGCTGGGCTGTCCCAGGGCGCGCGACGCCATGGAGCATTATTTGTGGTGTCTGGTGATACATGCGTGGTTGGGTACCCGATTGCGGATGCACGACCGTCGATCTAACATGGATCGTTGGATGATGGCCGTGTTTCTTGCGGACCTCCAGCTACGAGTATGATCGGTGGCGATGCACGCCATGGATAGGCTGGTCAATTACACGCGATATCAACCTACACAAAGGCCAGGCTACCACGCGGTGCTCACGAACCAGTTAGAAGGCACGACAAACGCCGCCGCCTTACGGCGGTGCTGCTGAGCAGGCTCAGTAATTCTCGCAGGTGGTTGGAGACGCAAGATTGCAGAGCGAGCACCCGTTTTCCCAGATTTTTTTTCTCTCTTTCTATCTCTCTATTTTTCTGTTGCGCACTCTCTCTCGCTCTCCTTTGTTCGCTCCATTCTGCGAGCAGCATATCTAGGACTATCATATCGTAGGCCAGTGCAGCCACAGTCGACAGCGAAACCACCGGGCTATCTTTGAACAGCGTGCTTTTGACCAACACTCCGGGGACCCCTCCATTCGATGGGGGGCAGCATCCTGACTTCGACGTCCCCAGGTGGCAGGCCCTTGTTCATCATGTTGGAGCCGCAACAGCACGATTCCGAGGGCCACAGCTACTGGCACACCATCATCCATCAGTGTGGCGAATTTTCCCAGGTTCCTAACTCCAGCTTCGACACTCCTTCTGGCACCCGCTCCGTCTCTGACCCCAACCCCGAGTCCAACAATTATTTAGACTCTTATTTCGCCCCGACCGACGCCTTCTCTGGCCCCGACTCCTGTTCCTACGCCTGCGGAGGGGACCGTTCATGTTGCCACGGCGAACCCTGGGTGTGTGGGACCGCTCTTTGGGTGTATTGCGTGAACCCAGGCCGCGCTAGAACCCCACGGATAGACAACACATGATGAGGGCTGTCCTATGAACGTGGACATGGCCGAAACTACCTCGCTCGTGTTGGTGCCCATGGGAGGGGGGAGGACTATTCGGGAGCCGTGCTTAATTCCGATATTGTAACTGTCATCTTGTCCGTGTTCCGACGCGCGACGCCGATGACATCACAAGGAACGCTGCCTGATCGGACAACAGCGATAGGGAAAGCCAAACCGACGATACCAGCGACTACCCACCGACCAGATGTGACCATGACCATCCATCACCTCCCATCCTGACCCACACGACCAGACGCACCATCGTTCCTGCCGTTGCAGCTGCCAGCAGCACCACCACAACCTTCACCGCCACCAGTCCAGTTAGTATTTACAGTCGCAGCCACAGCTATGACCGACGACACTGCCACTCCCACCACATCCGCCCTGAACCGTGATGCTGGCTCCGGCTCCGACTTCACTTCCGATGCCGGCTACGATTTCATCTCCGACCTCCTTTCCGACGTGTGCGTCGGGCCCAGGTGTTGACAATATGTTGGGTCTTGAGTGCGACGCATGGCGCACAATCGGCCACGCGGCTGGGGTTATGGAGGACGATCAATGGAGAGGAAGCTTGCTGTCAAATAATTTCCAAATGTCGACAACATTTGTTAAGCATGTTTTAAGCATGTAAAAAACATGCTTTCAACATATCCAGGACATGTTTCATGCATTTTAAAGACACTTTTAATTCGATGATAGGACTGTTAGGGTGTCCCTTGTCGTGGCATCCACAAGGCTGGGGCAGCCGCCGGCTACTCGGCTGGGGCAGCCATCGGCCCTCCCTCGGGGAGCCCGGTCGACGGACTGGCTCTGGGGTGGGCGGCGGAAGGAGGGGCGCGGAACATACGAGGACGAGGTGGCCGAGCCATCAAGGACACGATCTGACCGCTTCTTGTGTGTGTGTGTGTTTTGTCTTCGCGTCTCGTCTTCCCCGTGTTTCCCTCTCCCTTGGTGTGTGAATTTCGCTGTGACGACGCTCCTTCGTATGTGCATTTCGACGTGGCGACGCTCCCATTACCAGGGCGGCGCTGCAGTTTGACCCAGGCTTGCTCGCGGGGTTTGGCTCCCGCGGGCGGGGTTGCACTTCCTTTCCCTCGAGGGAGCAGGCTATCCTCTTACATGGCCTCTTCATTTCAACTTTAGCGCGCCTTTGAAACTTCCTGGCTTCAGGTTCTCATGCTGCCTTGCATTTGTTCGTACTGCTCTCTGCCTTATTCGCTTGCCTTTTTCTCCTCTTCTCTTCTGCTGGCTTTCTCCCTCCGGTGCGATAGGAGTGGGGGTCATATTCCTATCATTTGCAATGCTGCGTGGTCCGTCATATGCTGTGTGCGAGGCCTCTGCGCGCTGGCTGTGTGTGTGTGTGTGTGTGCGTGTGCGAGGCTTTGACATGTCGCTGCTCGTTCGGACCGCAGGGGATACCCACACATCGCCGGTATCTACTTTCCTTTGCCGCCTTCACTCCTTGCTCCTCCTCCTCCTCCTCTTCCCCCTCCTCCTCCTCCTCCTCCTCCTCCTCCTCCTCCCCCTCCTCCTCCTCCTGAACCTCCTCCTCCTCCTCCTCCTCCTCCTCCTCCTCCTCCTCCTCCTCCTCCTCCTCCTCCCCCCCCTTTTGGTTGGTACCTTTTTACTTTGGCATTCTGGCATCATTTCGATTCCTCATGTGCAGCATCGCTGCATCGCGATATCTTTTCACCTGGCTCGTGATGCGAACGGCACGCGCGCGAGCTAACTCCATGCTGATTCGGCGAGGGGGGGGGGAAGAAGAAAACGAGCCAGTAGGAGGCCAGCCAGCAGAACCAGGCGCGAGCGACGTGCGCCGGCAATCTTCGTCACGACGCCGGCTCCTTCCAGGAGAGCGCGTGCGGGGTGGGGAGAGGTCGAGCGCGGGGTCCTCGTGCCGGTGGGGATGCGCCGGTGTCCGGGTCCGCCAGGCGGCGCCCCGCGAGGAGCCGCCGCTGCAGCTCTTCATGGACGAGCTCCACTCTGCCACTGGCGAGCCCAGCGCGGCGGACCGGGAGGCCGCTGGGCTTGGAGTGGAGGAGGTTGAGCGGGGGTGGTGGGATGAGACGTGGGAAGGGGGGGTGGAGGGGGATGACGCGGGGGGCGGGGAGGGGGAGCAGGGTGTGGTAATGGGGAGGAGATGGAAGAGGAGGGGGAGGGGGATGGCGGGGGATGCAGGGGGAGGAGGCGGGAACGGAGGAGGCGGTTGCAGGAGGAGGGGGGGAGGTGTTCACAGTTCCTGAGTTGCTCTTGACAAGGTAGCTGACACTTTCCGTCTCAAATTGAACTATTCCATCTCATGTTCCTGTTGAGTGGGCAGCTGGAAGGCGCATGCCTTCTGTCGATCAGCAAACGAACGAGGAGGACAAGGCGGGCGGAGGAGGATGAGGAGGAGGACGACCAGAGTAAACCCAACATGCGTCAACGATGCTGCAGTATACCCTAGCGTCGCAAGCCCCCTCGCCATACGTCCCCGCAAGTTTCCCTTCTCACTGCAAGAAGCATGTCTTGAAAGGCCAGCGCAGTTGGGCCTGCCACTTTGACGAGGGCCCCGCTTTGAAAAGGCATTGCCTTGCTTCCAACTGGCGTCTTATCGGGTACGCGAGAAGCTAGGATTTTGCAGCTCAAGGACTTGCCTAGCGATATCCATCTTTCGGAGAAGGACCGCCCCCCATCTGCGTCACTGTTGCACAAGCTTGCAGTAGTGATCACGAACGTCGACGAAGTCTCAAGCGAGAGCTTCATTTTGAAAACGAGCCGCACTGGATACGTGTAGTGTTACATGTGTTGAAGTTTGGGTTGTTTGAAAATTAGCGACGTTTCCAGCCAGGGGCCCATGTTGAAAAAGAGTCGTCTCCCACCCGTCTGAATGCTGCGTTGAGGAAACGAATGTGCGCGGCGCTGAGATCCACACCTTGGACTCAACCTGCGCTCCATCCTTGAAACAGAATGTGCGCGGCGCCAAGGCGAGAGACACATTTTGAAAGACACCTGCGCTCCATTTCTGCCACTTGTTGCAAACTTGTATGACGAATGTGCGCGCCGCTACGGCGAGTGCCATCTTTTGAAAAAGAACCGTCGTCCACTTATGCAGCAATCGGAAATCGTACAACGAACGTGCGCGGCGCTAGCGCGAGAGCATCATTTTGAAATGGAACCGCCCTTCCATCATTGAAGCTGTGGCGAACTTGTAAGGCGAAGGTGCGCGGCGCTAAAGCGAGAATCACGTGTTGAAAACCACTTGTGTTCCATCCTTGCTAGTGTTGCAAACTTTTATGTCGAACGTGCGCGGTGCTCATGCGATAACCATATTTAGGAAAGGAACCGCCCTTCAGTCTTAAAGCTGTTGTGGACTTAAGATGGTTGCGGCGCGCGGCATGAAGTCGAGAGCGGCATATCGAACTTGTCTTGTGGTCCGTTCATGGAGCTGCTGCAAACATCTTGAACGCATATGGGCGGCACTCAGGCGAGAGCCACATTGTCAAACCAACAGTGCTCCATCCTTAAAGCTTGTGATGACTTACAGGTGAGTGTGTGCGGCGCTGTTCGGGCGAGAGCCACATTTTGAACATTAGCCGCCCTCCGTCCGAGAAGCTCCCACAGGCTGTAATCTTCAGGAGCCCAAGTGGTGAGGACGTCTCTGGCGAAACACCTGGCCCGCCCAACCGACACGTCTAGGGGTGCGACAGGGAGGAATTGTTCAATCGCTTGCTCATTCCGCCGGTCCATCTTGTATCACTGGTGCTATATGTTGGTGTGCTCGTGGCGAGCGAGAAGGAGGAGGATGAGAAGGATGAGGATGGTGATGGTGATGAGGATGAGGATGATGAGGATGAGGATGAGGACGATGATAATGATGATGGTGATGCTGGTGATACTGATGATGATGATGATGCTGATGTTGATGCTGATGATGATAATGATGATGACGATGATGATGAATGCTGATGGTGATGATACGGATGATGATTTTAATGCTGATGCTGCTGATGATGAAGATGATGAGGCTGTTGCTGATGATAATGATGATGCTGATGATGATGATACTTAGGATGATGATGCTGATGATGATGATGATGACGATGATGATGATGATGATGATGATGATGATGATGATGATGATGATGATGATGATGATGATGATGATGATTCTGATGATGATTATGATGCTGCTGATGATAATAATGATGATGCTGGTGGTGGTGATGATGCTGATGGTGGTGGTGTTGATGATGATGATTATGATGATGTGGATGAGGAGGCGGAGGAGGAGGAAGAAGATGGGAGGATGAGGATTAGCCTTTTCGATAGTTTTTTGGGGCAGTCTTCGGACCAAACTGGCTCGTGGGCAAGACACCTCTTTGGGCGGCGTCTTGGGGTCTCTGGGGAGGCCTCTTGGCGTGTTCTTGGCGGTATTCTTCGGACCCCCAGGGGCCTCGTGGGGGCCTCTTTGGGCCTCTTGGGAGGTTCTTCTGATCGCGCCTCCGGAGGCCTCTTGGGGGCCTGCTGGCGGTCTCGGGGGCCATCTTTCGGGACAGGGTTCGAAATGTCAGTTGGGATTCCCCCTCTTGGGGCCCTTTTGGGAGCCTCTGGAACGCTCTTGGGAGGCCTCTTGTGCCGTCCTGAGGTCCTGCTGTGTTCGGCTGTGCTGGAGTCGCTTCGCACATTCGCTTTCAATGGCCTTCGGCTTATCCCGCCACTGTGGTTGGGTGGTGGGTCTGAGGCCTCTTGGACGTTCGTCGGGATCTCGTCGAGGCCTGTCGGGGCCTCCTGGAGGTAATTCTGAGGCCTTTGGGGGGATGTTTTGGGCCCTCTTTTGGGCCTCTTGGGGGCCTCTTGGGGGCCTCTGGGGGGCCTCTTGGGGCTTCTTGGGGGCCTCTTGGGGCGTTCTTGGTGCTTCTTGGAGCGGAAGGCCTGGATTTTCGGTTCGTGTTTCCTCTCTTGGGCTCTTCTTGGGGCCGTCTTGGGCGCCTTTTGGGCCGTCTTGGGGGCCTCTGGGGCCGTCCTAGGGCGGTCTCGGGGGCCTCTTGGGACGTCTTGGAGCGTCAGAAGCTCAACAATGGAGAACCCCCGAGCCATTGACAAAACCTACGGGAGATCACCGAGTTTGGCCTGTCGGGGCCCTCTAGAGAAGGCTCTCGGAGGCCTCTTGGGACGTCTTGGGCGCTTTCTCGGCCGACTGGAGGCCATCCGGGGCGCCTTGGGCCGATTGTTCAGTGCTTCGGGGCCCTCTTGGACCGTCTTGGGGGTCTCTTGGGTTCCAGCAGACCGCCCCGGGGGATTTCCGGCATCCTTGGGGGGGGACCTTGCCAGGTTTTTTCGTCTGGGGACCCCCAGGGCGGCTCCGCGCGCGCGAACTAGAAGTGTGCAAAACCTATTGGCGGAGATCTTAGCACGTCTCTGGCACGTCGGGCCGGCGAAGTCATGAGGAAAAAAGATCGAGGCGGGATGAGGAGGAGGAGGCGGAGGAGGAGGAGGAGGAGGTGGAGGAGGTGGAGGAGGCAGAGGCGGAGGCGGAGGCGGAGGCGGAGGCGGAAGCGAAGGCGGAGGCGGAGGCGGAGGAGCAGGAGCAGGAGGAGGAGGAGGAGGAGGAGGAGGAGGAGGAGGAGGAGGAGGAGGAGGAGGAGGAGGAGGAGGAGGAGAAGGAGGAGGAGGAGGAGGAGGAGGAGGAGGAGGAAGCGCGTCGACCGAGTCGACGAGTTTCTCTTCCCTTCACTCGGCGTGCCCGCTTGCTTCCGCGCCACCCTGGTGGAGGGGCCCAAGTTGGCGGAAATGCCAGCGATTCCGCCCCCTACCCACCACCCCACTTCCCCCCTCCCCCCTCCTCGCACGGTTTGCGTCAATGCTCCTAGGCCCTTCGATTTCGGCCCCTGGTGTTAGATTCAAACATATATTTCCAGACGATTTGCCTCCCCCTGCCCCCATTCGGGGGGAAGGGGGCCTTGGCGCCAGAGAGGCCAGGGGACGGATAATGCCTGCGCGCGGAGGTCTACCTGCGCTCCGTGCCAGTGGAGGACGTCACGGAGGACGAGCTGCAAGAGTGGGCGCGCCCGCCGCACGGGAGCGTCAAGCGGAGAGGGACGTGAGGGGGAGGGAGCGACGGAGGGACGGGAGGGATCGGGCCTGCTGCTACTCTTGTTCACGACGCCCCCCCCGCTGTTGCACGTGGGTGCGGGCACAGGTCCACGAGCGTCATGCGGGGCAGAGTATCTTCACACGAGTTGGGTTCGCAGAGAGTCGCCAGGAACCTGCTGAATTCTTCCCGCGTCTCCTGCTGCTCCTCCCAGTCCATCATGCTGGTCGCATTATCCCTTCTGCCCTTTTCTGGTTGCCGTGTGCCATGAATTACACATCCTGGCGGGACGCCAGCCAGCCTTGCCACCCCGCCTTGCTGACCTCTCTTGCGAGGCTCGTGCTGTTGGGGAGGAGGAACGATGCGAAAGCCTTCAGCAAAGATGCTTGGCTCCCTCGTCCTCATCCTTGTCCTCCGTCTGTTCTGTCTCATCCTCTTCTTCATCCTCCGCCTCCGCTTCTTCCTCGAGTGGCTCTGCTTTCTCTTCCTCCTCATTCCCCAATCAGTGCTTGCACTTGAGAGGGAGCCTTACTTCGCTCCTGAGGCACCCGGGCCCCGGTGCTTCCCCAGCCGGCTTGTGGCCGCCCGTCGCCGCCCGTCGCCGCCATCCGTCGCCACCTCAAACCGGGGCCCCAGTGCCGCCCCCGCCGGCTCGTGGCCGCCCGTCGACGTCCGTCGCCGCCGGCCGTCGCCGTCGCCGCAAACCGGGTCCCGGTGCCACCCCGGCGCCGGCTGGTGGCCTCCCGTCGCCGCCCGTCGCCGCCGTCCGTGGCAGCCACTTGCTCTGCATTGGTTAGCACTGCTTTGCACTGCTATTGCGTTGCTTTGCGATCGTTTGTATTGCTTGGTACTGCCTTGCATTTCTTCTCATTGCATTGCGTTGCTTCGCATTGCTTTGCCTTGCTTTGCCTTGCTTGCGTTACATCGCGTTGAGTTTCATTTCTTTGCATTGCTTTGCATTATGTTGCATTATTTTGCATTGCATTGCATTGCATTGCATTGCATTGCTTTGCATTGCTTTGAATTGCTTTGTACTGCTTTGCGTTGATTTGCATTGCATTGTGTTGCATTGTGCGGCATTGGTTTGCATTGCTGTGCATTGCTGTGCATTGCTTTGCATCGCATTGAATTGCTTGGCATTTCTCAGCATTGCTTTGCATTGCCCTGCCTTGCTTTGCATTGCATTACGAGGCATTGCTTTGCATTTCTTTTAACTGCTTTGCATTGCTTTGCGCTGCTCTGCATTGCATTGCATTGCATTGCCTTGCAGTGCCTTGCATTGCTTTACATTGCTCTGCATTTCTCTGCATTGCTTTGCATTGCTTTGCATAGCTTTGCATTGCTTTGCATTGCTTTGCATGGCTTTTCATTGCTGTGCATGTCTTTGTATTTCTTTGCGTTGCTTTGTACTGCTTTGCATTGCTTTGCGCTGCTTTGATTGCTTTACACTGCTCTGCTTTGCTTTGCATTGCTTTGCATTGCTTTGCACTGCTTTGCACTGCATGGCTGTGCATGGCTTTGCATTGCTCGGCAGTGCTTTGCATTGCTTTGTTCTTTGCATTGCTTTGCATGGCTTTGCGTTACTTTGCATGGCTATGCATTGCTTTGTATTGCTTTGCATTGCTGGGCATTGCTTTGCGTTGCTTTGCATTGCTATGCACTGCCTTGTGCTGCTCTGCATGGCTTTGCATTGCATTGCATTGCATTGCATTGCATTGCATTGCATTGCATTGCATTGCATTGCATTGCATTGCTTTGCATTGCTTTGGCCTTGCTTTGCATTGCTTTGCATCGAGCTGCATTTCTTTGTATTGTTTTGCATTGCATTGCTTTGCATTGCTTGGCACTGCTTTGAACTGCGATGCATGGCTTTGTTTTTCTTTGCGTTGCTTGCATTGCTTTGCATTGCTTGGCATTGCGTTGCATTGCTTTGCATTGCTTCGCGTTGCTTTGCATTGTATTTCTTTGCTTTGCGTTGCATGGCTTTGCGCTGCTTTGCATTGCTTTGCGCTGCTCTGCGTTGCCTGGCTCGCTGTTTGGGACCCACGCTGGCTAGCATGATCTGAAGGGCTTCGCCCTCTGTCGCCCCCCCCTCCCCCCCCGCCCCGCCTTCACGGCTGGGTCGATGGGGTTACTTCGGTCGACCGGCTGGTTTACCCGCAGGCTGGCAGCTTGGCTGGTTGGCTCGCTGTGGAGATGAACGGTTGGCAGGTTGCTGGCTGGCTGAAGGGTTGGTTCGGAGGCTCGCTGGCCGGTGGGAAGTCTGGCTGTTCGGTTGTCGGGCTCGGAGCGTTAATCTATATAGTTCAAACAGGATCGTGCCCTCGGTTGCTCGGGTACAGTTTTTTCCTATCCACCCTGTGGTGTTGGGTATTCGTTTTGACTCGGCAGCGCCCCGCGTCTCCCATCCGTCATCCTTGCTCCCCCCCTCCTCCCTTCTCCTGCTCCTACTGCTGCTCTCCGCATGTTCATGTCGGCACACCTCTCGCTCGCTTCGTGGCCCCATTGGGAGCTCCACCCCAGGCCCTGGCGGCGCAGTCCGCATGCATTCCCCTGCACACGTCCCGTGGCCCCATATGGATCTCCACCCCAGGCCTCAGTGGCACAGTCCGCATGCGCCCCCCCGCCCTGTCGTCTCCCCGCGTGCCTCTTGGAGCCCTCTTGGCCCGTCTTGGGGCCCTCTTGGGGCCCTCTTGGGGCCGAGTAGGCCACGCGACAGGCCGCGGCAAGCCCCCGGCAAGCCGCGCCAAACCCAAGAAGATGTTGCAAGAGACTGCTCAGGAGTGAGGACTGAGGCTTAGAGGGTTAGGCAAAGGACCTGAGGGCACGCCCACTTCGTGCCCAGTGGCACGGTGACGGATGACGGGAAGCGCCTCCGGCGTGGACCGTCTGTTGGTGGAAGAAAACTAAGTGTGGGGTACGGATGACGGGAAGCGCGCTTAGACTCGAAGAGTCGCGCGATGGACTTTGTTTCTCGGCCTGGAGGGAAACACGCACTCATAGCACCCCGCAGATGCGGATAAGAGTGAGGGGGCGGTGGGGACGTCGGCAGTCTGCGAGGCTCTGGAGGAGCCCGCCGCAGGCGCCAAAGTTTCACAAGTTATACAATGAGCCCGCCGCAGGCGCCGATTTCTTCGTGAAACCAATGCGGGTGGGTCGCGGGTGTGTCGCGGGTGGGTCGCGGGTGGGTCGCGGGTGGGTCGCCGGGGTCGCGGTTGGGTCGCGGGTGGGTCGCGGATGGGTGTCGCGGGTGGGTCGCGGGTGGGCCGCGGGGTGGGTCGCGGAGTGGGTCGCGGGGTGGGTCGCGGAGTGGGTCGCGGGTGGGTCGGGTGGGTCGCGTCGTGGGTGGGTTGCGGGGTGGGTCGCGGGGTGGGTCGCGGGGTGGGTCGTGGAGTGGGTCGCGGGTGGGTCGCGGATGGGTGTCGGGGTGGGTCGTGGGTGGGTTGCGGGGTGGGTTGCGGGTGGGTCGCGGGTGGGTCGCGGGTGGGTCGCAGGTGGGTTGCGGGTGGGTCGCGGGGTGGGTCGCGGGTTGGGTGGCGGGTTGGGTCGCGGGTGGGCCGCGGGGTGGGTCGCGGAGTGGGTCGCGGGGTGGGTCGCGGGGTGGGTCGCGGGGTGGTTCGCGGGTGGGACGACGACGACAAACAACAACAACGCAACAAGCAGAATCCTCACCACGGATCCCCACTTCAGCCACGCACCCAGGGATAATGAATAACCGTTCGGCCCCCTCATTCTGATATTTCTCAAGAGGGGGCGTCCAGGGGTTGCACCATGGAGCTCGATGGCGGATGACGAGAAAATTGCCGTTTCGCTCGATACATCCTCCAAAATCGGCCCCGGAGGGGACTCCGAATCGACATCGTCGTAGAGTCGCTCCTGGAGGGCTTTCGAATGGCCCAAAGGCGGCCCAACAGACGCTCCGGAGGGCTCCAAGAGCGCCGAAGAGCGTCCCAAGAGGACCCCCAGAGACCTCAACAGCGCTTCAGGAGGCACCCAGACAGCTCGCAAGAACTCCAAGACGGGCCAAGAGGGCCCCAAGAGACTCCCGGGAGCGCCCCTGGAGGCCCCCAAACGACCCAAGAAAGCTCCAAGACTGCCTAAGATGGCGTCGAGACGGCCCAAGAACGCTCCCAAAGAACTCCACGACGCGCCCAGGCAGCCCAAGAAGACCCCAGAAGCCCACAAGAGAACCCAAGAGGCCCCCAACAGGCCCCAAGGCAACCCCGCGCGGCGCCAGGAGCCCCCAGGGTAGCCCGATAGGGTCACCAGGACCCTTTCCTGATTCAACATCCTTCTCCAATTGCCTCTTACTGTCCTCCGTCGTCGTCGTCGTCGCCGTCATCGTCCTCCGCATTCCTCCTCGTACTCGCCCTCGTTCTCTTCGTTCTCGTCCTTTTGCTTTTTTTCCTCCTCGCTGTCCTCATGCTCCTCCTCGCTATCCTCACGTTCTCCACGTCGTCCTCGTCACTGCCTCCTCGTCGCCCTCGCCTTCCTTTTCTTCTTCTTCGCCCAACGAGCCCATTGGACTAAAGCGGCGCTTCCCGTTTTTGTCCGATCAGGGTTCCTAACCATCCTGCGTTGGGTCCTCGTTTTTAGTTCGCTGCGTCCCGAGTCTCCCGCCCAATCTCACCTCCTCCACATTCCACTCCCATCCTTGCCTTTGCTCTCCTCAGGTCAACTTCTGGCAAAGTCAGCATGCATGCCCGCGCCTATTTCGGCACGCCCCTCACACGTTTCGTGGCCCCATAGAAGTTCCATCGAATGGCCCAGTGGGAAAGTCTGAATGCGTGCCCACGCTCGTTTGCGCCCCTCACAAGGTTCGTGGCCGCATGGGAAATTTCACCGAAGGCCCCAGTGGGAAAGGTCGCATGCATGCCCACGCTCACTTCGGCACATCGCTCATACTCTTCGTGGCCCCGTAGGGTTCAGGGCAGCATCTTGGCCCAGCGCTCCTAATCGGCTGCTGGTTGCCCCTCCCTCCTCCTTGCCTTCGTCCGCGTCCTCCTCCCCCTCCTCCCCCTCCTTTTCCTCCCCCTCCTCCTCCTCCTCCTCCTGCTCCTCCTCCTTTTATAGCTTCGCTGTGCTGGACGGCGGCGCTGCACGCTGCAATTCTGTGGGCCAGGGGCACATCAGTTCCCACGTTGTTCCCAGGCTCGGGCCAGTCCCCTCCAGCCCCCTGACCAGGGGGAACAAAAGCCACAAGCAGCAGGGAGCTCCATCGAAGGCCCCAGCGGCAGGTCCCGCACGTGTGCCCGCGCTCATTTCGGCACACCCCTCATGGCTCCATGGGGAGCTCCATCGAAGGCCCCAGAGGCAGCGCCCGCGCGCGTTCTCCCCTCGTGCGCTTCGGGACCCCAGTGGGGAGCTCCACCGAAGGCCCCAGCGGCAGCGCCCGCGTGCGTCCCCTCGCCCACTTCGGCACACCACACGACGCTTCGTGCCGTTCGGCATGCCTCTGCGCGCGTGTTGCATCGGGTTGGGCGCATCGCCAGACTGGTTTTTGGCCACTCTTTTATCCGCGTGTTGGGCCTTCGTTTTGTTGGGAAGGCTGCTCGTGCCCAGTCCCTCCTTCCGCCGTCTGCCTCCCGTCTCCGGCTTCCGCCTCATTCTTTTTCTTCTTCATCTTCTTCATCTTCTTCATCTTCTTCTTAGTTATTCTTATTGTGCTCTTCTTCTTCTTCTTCTTAATCTGGTTGTTGTGCTTGCTGCTGCTGCTGCTGCTGTTGTTGTTGTTGTGGTTGTGGTTGTTGTTATTGTTGTTGTTGTTGTTGTTGTTGTTGTTGTTGTTGTTGTTATTGTTGTTGTTGATGTAGTTATCGTTGTTGTTGTTGCTGTTATTAGGTTTTTGGTGTGAGTGTCGTTAATTCTTGTTGTTGCTGTTGTTGTTGTTGTTGTTGTTGTTGTTGTTATGGTTGTTGTTGGTGTTGTTGTTGTTGTTGTTGCTATGATTGCTGTTGTTGTTGCTGTTGATGTTGTTGTTGTTGTTGCTGTTGCTGTTGCTGTTGTTGTTGTTGTTGTTGTTGTTGTTGTTGTTGTTGTTGTTGTTGTTGTTGTTGTTGTTGTTGTTGTTGTTGTTGTTGTTCTTGTTCGTCTTATTATTATTATTATTTCCTTTTTCTTCTTATTACCATGGTTTGATTGGGCTATTGCTCTTCATCTTCTGATTTTCCTTTCTTCGAATCTTCAAATTTGTTTTTGCCTAATGGGGTCCTTGTTTGGCTGTGAAGAGCCGCTGGGTGTTGGGCGTGGTTGCCCCCCGTGTTTCTCGGGGTTCCCCGGTCTTGTCTCCCTACAAGGGGGGGTTTCTCGGGGGGTCCCCAGCTTTGTTTTCTTCTAAGGGCGCTGGGTTCCCTGGTCCTGTTCCTTGCCTTACCACTTCGGGTTCCCCGGTCTTGTTCCTCGGGTTCCCTGGTCTTGTTCCTTGCTTGGATTCCCTGGGTTCCCTGGGCTTTTTCCTTTCTTGGGTCCTTCTGAATCCCCAGTCTTGACTCTCGGGTTCCCTGGGTTCCCTGGTCTTGTTTCTTGCTTAGGCTCCTCGTCTTCCCCATCCTTGTTCCTCGGATTGCCTAGCATTCTCAAGCAATGCCAGGCAATGCCAATCAACGCCAAGCAAGTAAGCTTTGGGCGCATGCGGCCGGGCCAGGGAGCCTCGCGAGGCTTCGAGAGTCACGCCCGGCGCAAACGGGCAACTGCTGGGCCAAGAGGAGGTGGCACGTGGGGAGGACGCTGGCCCCTCACGGGGCAGTGGCGGGGCGCGGCGGGCCGCGGTCAGCGGCCGGGAGCAGCGGGCGGCGGCACCAAACGGGCACTGGCGGGCAGGGCCCCGCGGGTGGCGGCGGGCAGCGGGCAGCGGGCGGCAGGCAGCGGCGACGCCAAACTGGCGCAGCCAGGGCGGGGGGCGACAGCCGACGGGGAGGCGCCGTCCACTGGCGTGGAGCGGTCGCAGTGGGGCGACCTGCCGGCCAAAGTTGGCGCCCCGCCGTCCAGAGCTGGCGGCCAGGCGCAGTGCCCGCCTGGGCGTCTGCGCCTGCGGTGCATGTGTCGTGGGGCCGTCCCACGAGGCTAGCACGATGCTGAAGCCCTTGATGGACGGCAAGCCAGAGCGCAACGGCGCGCGTGGCGGGGAGGCAGGCTGAGGGCCGGGGCAGGCATCCATTCGGCGGGGTCGAGCGGGCTGGGCGGCCAGCGCTCCTCACCGCGAGGCCGTCGCCTTTGACCCGCTGGCTTCGTGGGACAGGGGGATTGCAGGGCGGCAGGCTGGGGGGCGGGGCGGGGCGCCCCTCAGCAGGCCGTCGCTCAGCCAGAGCAGGCGAGCAGGAGAGGGAGGGCTGCGAGGGGCGCCGAGTCGTTGGCAGACCGCTAGGGACAGCCCTATATATCCTTTAAGTAAAGCCTTCCCGTGTCTGCCCGGGGGGCCCGCGGCGGGTAGAAGACCGCTGGCGGCATGCGGTCGAAAGGGAGAAAAGGGCGGCAGCAGCGCCGGAACACGCGCCAGGAGGTAGGCGGGACTGGCCGCGGGGTGCAGGGCGGCATGGGGTGAGCAGCCGGCGATCCTCTCAGCGAGGCCGTCGCTTCTGATCCGCTGGCCGTGCAAGACTGTGCACCAGCTCGTCCTCCAGCCAATCCCTGAGGAGCTGGCCCCCGACGGAGGGGATCGACGTGGGCGGGGTCGAGGAGGTGGGCGAGGAGGTGGGCGCGGCGCGCGCCGCATCAGCAACCGCTGCCGTCTTCTGGATGTCGTCGTCGACAACCTCGATGGCGTCCAGGTGGTCCATCTCGGCCGCCATGTCTGCGTTCGTCTGCAGTGCCGCCGCGCTCTGCGTGACACCGATGCCGTCGGCTTCAAAGTCCATGTTGGCGTTCGCATCGGCATCAGCGCCGGCAGCAGGCGCGCCAGGCATCTGGGCAGCCAGCCTGGGCGGGATGCCGGCGGCGGCCGCAGCGTGCGCGGCGCAGAATGCGACCCCGGGAAGTGCATGGGCGTCCACGCCTCCGGCCAAGCACATGCTGCATCGCCCAGCCATTGCGGGCAGAGGTGTGGAAGAGAACTAATAAACGACTCCCCGCCCTTGGCAGGGCACCTGGTCGGGGAAGCTGCTTTGAGCACTTGGGCCAGCCTCGCTTGAGCCACTCTTGAGCCAGCATCCCGTAGGTCCGTCGAGGGCCAGCTCCTCAGGGATTGGCTATAGGGCGACGTCCTGACCAATTCAGCATCGTTCAGGCGACATGCGACCATGACCACGGAGGCTTCGACGTCCTTCGAGATGCCCTCGGGCTGGGCTGGTCTCGCCGCCATCTTGAAGAAGTTAGGGTGCCACCTCGACTCCGATGATAACTGGAAGGCCTTGGGTTTCACTTTATACGAGAGCCCTGGCCCGTCGGCACAGCTCATCGCCAGTCGTTTGCGCAGCCTGCGATTCCTGTGCAACTTGGCTCAGAAGGGGGCGTGGGCCAGTGCCGATGTACAGCGCGCTCCTGACGCGATCGCGATGCTGTCAAGTGCGAGACCGACCTGCCAGAACATCTTCGAGCGCGGCGAGTGGTGAAGGCTTCCAAGAGGAGCTTGGCCCAGCGGCTGTCGACATGCTGCGCGCCCGCAACGAGGCCGCCGACGACCTCCTTGTGACCCAGTGGTCCAACATCCTCAGCTCCCACGTGCCCCACCGCGTGGAGGAGCCCCGAGAGGTCGCGAGCCTCGCGGAGAAGGGCGACCCCAAGGTTTGGGAGCGGCTCCGGGGGCAGGCGGTCACGATGTAGGCTCCAGCGAGCGGCAGCGCTCTGACAGGACTTCTTTCCGCCTTACTGCGGAATGCTGGATCCCGGGATTCCCCACCCAGCCTACGTCTTCTGGTGCCCCTCCAGCTGTGCCTGGGCATGGCCCCCCCGGAGAACATCGTGGATCTGTGGTTGTCTCCGATGTCGAACGACAAAGGGGCGACCCTAGTCAAGAGCGTGTGCTTTGCGCCGCACCCTTTCGAACTCATCCTCCTTGGTCGCCACTGCCCGCGGCATCTTCGCGTTGGACTGGCCGTTTTCAAGCTGCCCTTCATCGGCTCCTGGTCGACTCCGAAGATTTTGGAGCGCAGTCCGTCGTTGGTGCAGATAGCGGCGGTCACGGTCACGACGGTCGACGTGCTCGCCAAGGATTTGCCCACGGTCTACGCCATTATCCAGACCCGATGCTGGGCCAGATCGTTTGCCGCCCCCCGCAGCGGAGCCGGGCGAGTGCCAAGGCCTCCCACGCATCACCTTCGACCTCATCTTTCCCACTCCGCCTCCAGTTGCTCATTTTCTCCCATTGCTCCACTTACGCCGCGCCATCCTCCCCGAGACGACGTTCTTCGGCTCCTCGCTCATGTGCGGGGGCCCCGACGCGATGCTCTTGGAGATCAACGACCCTACAGTCCTGCACCATTCCTGGCCGCTCTGCTCACAGATGGTGGTGCTGTCGGACACCCGCGCGCTGGTCTACTCTAAGGCCTCGTCGGAGGTCTGGGTTGAGGCCCTGGACAGGTGGATGCTGCTCGACCCAGGAACGGCTGCCACCGAGTTGAAGTGGAAGCCTTCGCGGTATGGAGGCCGCGCGGTGGCTGCGCCGTCGATGATCCCGAGTGCGCTGGCGGCCGCCAAGACGAAGACCAGCCCGCGCCGCGGCGCCCAAGACTACGTCGCGGACATCATGCTGCAAGGCGAGGTGGGCCATGCTGATGGGGGGTCTTGCGGGGAATCTTGATGCGCGCGTGCGTGGCCACTGGTCTCCAACTGTCCGAGACGGCTCCGGAGGCAATTCCGAGGGCTGGGGAGTTCTACCACCTTTCCTCTCTTGACCCCATTGCTCCTCCAGGTCGTCTTCGCGCGCTCCTTTCTGGGCCCGAAGACGTTCGTCGTGTTCATGCGGCTCTGCGCGGCCAGGCGGTGCAGGTGGGGATCGACAAGGTGGCCGTCGAAGTGCTGAACGACTACTTGCTGCAGGGGTTCCCCTCCCGGGCCAGGGCTCGGGCAACGGCCATTAGCGGCCTGTCGTGATGCAGGCGGCTGCCGCCGGGGTGCCAGGCATCTGGCTGGTCGGGGCACGAGCCGGGAATTTATTGCATCAGCGCTTTGGTGAGGCCTTCTGGTTCGTCGAGGTCGTTCTGCGTCTCTGCCCCGCCCGGGTGGGGCCGCGCCGAGAGGGCCGCCTTTCGCTGACCTACGGCATTGAATTCAAGGACCGCGTTCTCCCTCGCATTCCTCCTCAGCTTTACTATGACGGCGACTTGCTTCCCGATCGTCCTCTCCGCGACGCTTCGGTTGACGCCCCAGTGGACTTTTGCAGGCGGCGCCGTCTTCACAGAGCTCTCGGTGCTCTCCCTCATGATTTCATTTTCCTTCCTGCTCGCTCTGCCCCGAGCTCGACGCCGCCTGCCGGAGCTCGGCGCGATGGTCAATTCATGCTGGATATTTTTGTCGTTCACTGGAACGCCCAGGCGCTTTTTGTTCTGAATCTGGCGCTGCGCCAAGTGAAGGCCAACTACGTCGGCAAGTTGATGCGCAAGGCGGACGTGCGCATCCTTACCGAGACCCACGGGGCCAATGCTGGGAACGGAACTTGGCGCACTCGTGCTGGGGTCGCTGCGTGGTAGTCGGCTGGCGCGTGCCCTTGCCGCGCGGGGGTCGGCATCGCGGTAAAAGACTCTTTCCCCAAATTGGGTGCCGAGGTCGAGCGGGGGGTCATCTGGGCAGGCCGGGCTCTCAAGCTCGAACTTCGCGGTCCACGTGGGGCGCTCGACCTGATCGTGGCGTATTTCCCGACAGGGGTCGCAGTGGCGGAGGCCGACCTGTTCGGCGTCGGCGAGCCGCGCCGGGACTCTATGACTACCTTTCCTGTACTGCGCGCGCACATGCGCAGCCGTCTCTCTGGCCAGATTGTTTCTCGGGATAGGGCTCTCGGTTGGGCGGGGGCTCCAACTGCGTCGCGTCGCAGGAGGATCGCGTGGCGTTGGCTGCGCGCAGATTGCGGTGATTGGCTGAGCGGCGGGAGAACCAGCGCCGGGTCGAGAGATGCCGGGTTGACGTGGAGGATTGTTGCATTTTCCATCTGTGCGCGGCCTCCGCCGCGCTGACCGCCGCGGAGCAGGCGGCGCGCCTGGGCGGCCCCTCGCTGACTGCAGGCGGCCCGCCGTGGACGTGAAGAAGGACTGGCAGGCCCAGGCCGCGCGAGTCCTTCGCGCCGCTGCCGGGCATTCCTCGGCGACGCACGTGAGGCGCAGGCTCGACCGCTGGCAAGTCTCCGTGCTGCCAGGCCACTGCCCCGCTGCCTGGGTGTATTCTGTCGAGCTTTCTGCGCCTCTCCTCCCCCCTCGGGCGCAGGCGTGTCGATTGCGCTCGGCGTGGAACGGCTGGTGCACAGCAAGGCGCTTCCAGGGGGCTGCTGGATGCCTGTGTGGTGGCCGAAGAGGAGAGGACTCCCTCGGGCACTACGCGTTTTGCAGTTCGTTACATTCGTTGTGCCGCCGCTTCCTCGGGCTCAGCCAGCCTCCGTCTGAATCTCGCTTGGCAAATGTTCTAGGTATCGCCCCGCGCGTGTCCTCCCTCCCTGAACAGTGCTGGGGTGAGGGGGCCACGGCGGCTGTAATTGCCCTCCGTGCCGTTGGCGTGCACGCTTTGTTTGCGACCCACAACGCGCGGCGACGCGGACAAGTGCGCGCCGACGCGCTAGATGCTTCCCGTGGCTATTTACGGGCGGCCGCGCTCGGCTACCCGAAGCTCCGGCACCTCATCCTGGCGACTGTGAAAAGGCTTCGTGGCGTGGAGTAGTTTTTGCTTCCTTCCTATTTCTACCCCTTTCTTCCCCTTTCCTCCTCCCCCCCGTCCTCCTCTTGTCTTCGTTTTAAGGCGCGGGCGCGCGCGCGCCGAACGGCGGGGTCGGGTGGCTTACGCCCCGCGGCCGCGCCCTCGCCTCGTGAGCTGTCGCCGCACGTGTGCGCAGCGGTCTTTTTCCTCCTCGTCCCCGTCCGCTTCCTCCTCCTCCTCCCCCTCTTCCTCTTCCTCTTCCGCCGCCCACGTGGAAGCCTATTCCTGGCGTTGTCCGCAGATATATCCTGGCATTGTCCAGGCTGTTTTCTGTGATTGTGATGGTCTTTCACCATCGCATGTGCGCGAGATTTTGATGTATTGTAAGCAGTTCTGTGCGGCATTGGGGTTCGGCGACGCTGCCGGTCGCCTTCCCGCAGAGTGCTTGTATAGTGTTTCGTCAGGTTGGCGCGGCCACAATTGGCCCGACTAGTTCCCGGCATTGTCCGGCCAACCGTGTCGTTTGGCCGTGGTAAGACAAAGTGTCGCCGGACCGACGCGTCTACGATGCTATCGGCTGGAGATTGTTGGTAGAGTGCCTTTGGTCCAGGTGTGTTGTCGCACGCGTTGTTGAGGCAAATCGTTCGCCGGCTCGCTGTCAGTTTTCTCTTGTTTTCTGGGTTGTTCTTCTGTCTTCCGTACGCTCCTGCATGCCTGCGCTGCGTCGTCGCCGCTGCTTGTCTCACGCGGTCGTTGATTTCTATAGTTGTACATGCAAGCGCTGATGCGTTGCATGTTTTCGCTGGCAGGTTTTCCTCTTCCTCTTCCTTTTTCCTGCCTCCTCTTCCTTCTCCTCCTTCCCTTCTTCCAATTGGCTTTTCCCTGCGGTCGCTCGGCGACCGCATGCGCTGGGAGAGGCTGGTTGTGAAGTATTGCCGTTTGCCATCTTCTCGGATACTTTACTTTATCGTGCCGCGTCCATGTGCACGATTCGCAAGGGTTCGTTCCGTTTGCCTTGGCGGCGAGTTGGTTTCGGCTTGAGTTTTCTCGGTTCGATCCCGGCGGGCTTGTAATTTTACATGGAGCTTGGGTCCTGACCTCAAAGTCTGCATATGTTCCAGCGTTGCAAGACCCCGGTTGTAGGCAGCGGCTCGCCTATCGCAGGTTGGCTGGAGCGCTGTTCCAGGTGTATTGGAGTCTTCCTCAGCTTCCCCCCTCCCCTCCTCCCTCTTCCTCCTCTCCTCCCCCTTCCCCTCTGGATTGCGCTGTGCGTTTTTTGGTTTATTTATGTGGCTGGTTGGGCCGCAGGGGTTATCCGCACAGCGCCCTTGCCTCTTCGCCTCCTCCTTGCCCTTCCTTCTTCTCGGTCTCTCCATTTTCTGACACAGACGATTGTCTTGTCAAATGCGTTTGAAAAGTCTCGGCGCGTTCACAAGTTGGAAGATGCGCGATTTGTTGCGCTGATTTCTGCGGCCGAATCTCTGTTCATAATCTGTCAGTGCAGATGCCTCGGCGGAAAAAAAGACTGTGCACCAGCTCCTGGGGGGCCCAGGGGCGGGCAGATCCACGCCCAACGACAAGAAGGACCCGGGCGGGGCTGATGCCTTTCACGGGCGGACCACCCGAGCGGGGCGAGCCAGCGATCCTCGTGGCGAGGCCGTCGCTTGGGCTTGCTGGCTGCGTGAGGCGGTCGTGCAGCCGGGCAGCTGGCAGAAGGCTGGGGCGGGTCGCCGTGCAGCGGGCCGTCAGTCAAGCAGCGCAGAATACTGCCAACCTATACAAAGCAATGGCACGCAATGCCAATCAGTGCCAAGCAATGCCAAGAGGTGCCAAGCAATTCCAAACAATGCTAAGCAATGCCACATGATGTCAAGCAATGCAAAGCAACAGGAACCAATGCCAAGCAATGCCAAGCAATGCGCCAATGCAGTAGGAAGCTTTCCCCTGATGGGGGTCGCGCTGGGTTCATCCTTCTTAGTGTAATTATCCTCCCACCACGTTCTCTCTCTGCCTTCGGCCTCCTGCTTCCTGCTGTCTTCTGCTGTTACGACTTTCGCAGAAACAGTTGTGAAGCTGTCGCAGTTGCGCAGTTGCAAACTGGGGAGCTGACAACCTCGACTCTAATCGTACTTTCGTCGGCTCCTGGGGGTTCCAGCGCAGCGACGGACTACGCGAACCCAGACTGTGCCTCGCGCTCACTGACTTGCTGCCAAATGCGCAAATGTCGACACTTTCGTGAGCCCCTGGACGGGGGGCTGGCCGATCTACCCCTCGGCCACTTCATCTGGTGTTTCGTCGTAATGTATCCCAGTCCTCGGTGTTAGAGTGGGTGTCAAGAGCAGAAACACATGATAGATAACAGGTGATGCGAGCGCAGAAGCAGCGAAACGCCGAATAGCTACTTCAGGGAGTTGTCCAGTGGATAATTTGGGAGAGTTGCGGTTTTATTATGGCCGCATCGAGCTTCTGTTCTGCCCTCACCGCTAGCTTCCAGCATGTGGAGTATTCGTGAAACGTGTGTCAGCGCGCCGCTCTCCTGTTCTCCGGTTCATAAAGTGTCACCCGCCGACACTCCAGTTCTCGAACAGCAGGCCCGCCCTTTAATCGTGAGGGTATCACCATGTGTATGCGGTGTGCACGTGCACGACGGCTCAAGAGTATTGGGCCTTGCGTGCACTTGTTGTGGCAGAGGCTCTGCTCCTCGTTCTGCCGCGATGAACGCTGGATCCAGCCGCTCCACATCTCTGGTCCTGTGTGTCTCACGTACGCCGGTGTTAACCATGCAACACGCAACCTCGTGCCGATTTTCCATGGCCGATTGCTGGCCGTCAAAGGGTACAACATGGCCCCATCTGCCTCTCATACAGTTGGGGCGCTGAAAAAGGAACCCTTTTCGTTGGGGAGGGGCTCCGTGTTCCTTGATTGTTTCACAATATGTTTTAGGTTGTCCTTAGGTTTACGATGGGAAATCGAAGTTCGACTTGTGGAAAACAGGGGCCTCCTTCCTTACTTAGGGTTCCTTAGGTCAACGCCCCGACTGTACCTTCTCTTCCGACCCCTGGCCCCTTCCATCCCAGGCGCAGGGCTTCGGCGAGTTAGAGGCCGCCGACGCGCGCGCGGGCGCCCATGGGGTCTTCACAGTCACGCGTGCTTGAGCTGTGTCTAATAGTGACGAATCCCTGGACCGATTGGATGCATGGGGAGGGCAGCTTTTGGAGGAGTGGGAGGCGCGGGAGGATGATGAGCGGCTGGATGAAGAAGAGGGGACACAGACAAAAAAACATGATTACTGGACATGGGGGAGACAGAGGAGGAGATGAGGGGAAAGAGCCGCAGAAGGACTTGCGTGAGTGGTAGGAAGGGCAAGAGCCTGTTCTGGACGACAATTTACTCCCACTAGAAGAGACCAGTACTGATCCACCTCGGTGCTGCCATGAGGCTGCTGAGGCTTATCTCAGGCAGCACGGGCGAGAATGGTGAAGCCAGTGAAACTGCGTGTCATTGAACAAGTTGAATTTCGAGAGCACTCTTGAGAGACTCCAGGGCCACCATGGGGCCATCTCGGGGTCATCCTGGAGACAATGCTGGGACCAACTGGGGCCATTTTGGGTCATCGAGGAGGGCATCTTGAGCCACATGCTTTCTTGGGAGGCATTGGAGGCACGCTCGTTTTTTGTCCCCACATGGGGACCCCTTGATGAACATGTGAGGTTTCTGCTGCCATGAGGTGGATTGACGTGCTCGTGGAGAGACCCCCCCCCGAATTGGATCTTGGACCCCCAGGGCGTGGGAATAGGGAAACGGGGGGCAGCCAAGCATCCCACACGCTTTGTCCCCCCCAGCAAGCAGGGGGTCGGGAGAAGCCTGTGTTCGCGACCTCTGCGCTACACCTTGCGGTTCTGCTCGTTTCCAGCGCACGGGGGAGGGCAGACGCCCAAGCCAATAGCTGGAACGCGGCGATCGTCGCAGAACCACTTTCTGCCGCATCTTGCTTGGGAGTGTTCCTGTGGTCCGCCTCCCATTCTCATTCCCATCCTTTTCCGCCTCAACCCCTGCCTCCTCCTCCTCCTCCTCTTTTTTTCCTCATCCTCTTCCTACCGAGTGTTCGCACCTTCTGTGCAGAGTTGTTTTTTGGGCCGTAGGGAACATGCTCAGGCCACATAGCCAGGGTGAGCCCATCCGGAGACGGTCCCGGGAAGTGCACGACAGCAACGGGCGCGGGCGCGGCTGCAGGGAGGCAGGCGACCGCGGCGGTTGAGGCCCCTGCGCGTGACGAGGCGCGCCCCGCCCCCCCCCCTGTGCCCGTCCCCGCCAGCGTGTTCCAGACGACTGTTGGCTGCGAGTGTGATGTTCGAGTGGCCGCCGCCCAGGACAGTGGCTGTGCCGCGGAAGCATGCTGGCGGGGCCTGCGGCGTGGCCCAAGGCCGTCGGCGCAGGTCGACGGCAGCAGCAGCCTCCGGGCAATCTGGCGCCTGGCGATGGGCCGTCGTGGGCCGAAGGTGGTGCTTCAGCGATGTGGTCGCCCTGTCGCTGCGGTTCTCCTCTTGCGCCGAAAAACGAAGCAGCTGGCATCGATTCAGAAGCTGAGAGCGGCCCCCGATAGCTCACGTCAAAGGTAGTATTGCTTCCTTTCGTGTTTTTGGACTGCCATGAGGACACAGGTAAGAGAAAGCTGTTGCATGCGCTCGCTGTCGTACTGATGCGAGGTGCTGGGGCTTCTCGCAAAACGTCGCGATGTCTTGGCCAATGCGTTGCGCACGAACTCGCATCTCGGCCTCGGTCCAGCCTGCGGCCTCCACCCCTAACCGCACTGCGGCCGCCACGCCAACCACGGCCAGAGAGCTTCTCACGGAGCATGTCAGTGTCGGCATTGTCGATGTGCTTGCAGCGCACAGCTCGGGCTCTGGTGGTCGGGCCTGCTGGGATTGCTGCTTGAGCACGTCTGCGAGCTTGGCGCAGCCCCGCCACTGCACGAGGGAGGAGCCATTCAGAGACTCCTGGGCCGCTTGCCACCTTCTCCAGCCGCCCCGCGGTGGTGCAGCGAAGTGATCGCCTCGCCCTCAAGCGGGGCTGCTGGCGCGGCGACCTGCCGCAGCGAAGCCGCTCGTCGACGACCTGCAGCTGGTCGCGCTCAGCCGATTACTTGGTCCAATCTTTTTGTCGTCGGCCTGCCCAAGGCAGCGGAGGATGCCTTGACCATAGCAAGCCGAGACTGCCGCGTTCGGTCGACGGCCGGTGTCGTCTCCCATGGCGGAGTTTAGCTTGTGATGCCACCAGGTATCTGCTTCCTGAGTCGATCAGTTCTCTTGCCACCGCCAACTTCCTGGAGGTGACCGACTAGGGGGAAAGAGGGCGAAGAGGAGGATGTGAGACGAACAGGGAGAGGTTGAGACGCAGAATCAGATGCGCCCTGGATTTGAGACAGAAGGCGCAATTGAACACGTTGCTGGCCAGCATGCAGAAACAGTGGCTCACGAAGAAGCGGGAGGCTGAGGGCGTTGACAGAGCCCGGCTTCTCAAGAGCTTTCAGTCTGCGCGGCCGGGGCTGCACGCGATCACGCCTAGGCAGGTAGGCCGGGAGACAACCCAGGACCATACTGCCTGGGCTATGGCATGCCACGACATCGAGAAACGTTGGACCGAAGCAAATAACACCTGGGCGAGAAGGTGGAGACACAGGGACATCCCAGGTTTCTCGCACAATGCAGGCCCGTTCGACGATTCAGACGTGAGGGTCGTTCTACTACAACTGCGTAAGAACAAGATAGTGAAATTACATATTGGGATTGCGCCCAGCCGAGTTCCGAGGCGAGGCAGGCGGGTCGTTGGCTGTGGAGCTTGAGGGGTACACCAAGTCCAAGATATCAGGATTCGCGTTGCCCGCGCAGATCCGCACCATCATCCCGCAGAATGCTATCCTGAATGCGTGCCATGCTTGCGTGCAGGAGCGAGTTGTGGACATCACCGCATCATGGAGTGCAGCTCACAGTCTGGATGCCCTGATCCTCGGAGGAAGCAAGCACCGCCAACTGGCCGAAGATACATTCGCGTGCAACCAGCTAGTCTGGAAGAGCATGGACCGTAGTAGCGGCGGCGTGGTGGGCTCCATGGGCGTGTCAAATTCTTCACGTTTCACGTATCCCTACCAGCTGCTTGTCGCTGTATAATTGGGCTCGCGCGTAGCCCGCCCGACCTTTTCGGACGCCGCCTGCGCTTCCGCTTGCGGCCGCGACCAAAAAACAATATCCCCACCAGCCCATTGACAAAGCTTGCCCATGAGAGTTGACGGGAAACGGGACGAAGAGACAAATGTAGTGAAACAAAGCTGGCAACCAGGGTGAACAGTGAGATCTCTGGGAGCAAGAGGGTGGCAATGGAGGGCCTCTTCGGGCCATCCCTGGGGCCCGCGTGGGGGCGAGTGGAGGAGGAGGAGGAGAAGGAGGAGAAGGAGGAGGAGGAGGAGGATAAGGATGAAGACGACGACGACCATGACGACGAGAAAGAGGAGGAAGCGGCAAAGGAAGACAATGAGAGCAAGGACGAGGACGAGGAGGAGGAGGAGGAGGAGGAGAAGGAGGAGAATGAGGACAACGATGACGAGGGCAGAGCCTCAAACTCGCCTCTTGGAGCCCTCTGGGGACTCTTTTGGGGGGTTGGGGCCCACTTGGAGCCTTCTTAGGGGTCCCTTGGGAGGCCTAGAGGGCCTCGTGGGGCCATCTTGGAGGCCATCGATCAAAAGGGGGGCGGGGCCTTCGATTTGCCTCCCCGCCCCCCCAGGTGCCATCAGCATCGCCTCTTGGGCCCCTCTTGGGGCGCTCTTGGGCGCTCTTGGGGCCGTCTGGGGGGCCTCTTGGGCCCCCTCTTGGGCCCCCTCTTGGGCTTCTCTTTGGCCATCTTTGGGCCATCTTGCGGCACCAAAAGCGCATCGGAAGCGAAAAGGCGAGAAGACCCAAATCATTGAAATTCTGAAGGCTTTTGAAGGATTGTGGTATTGTGGTCTCTTTGGGGGGTCCTGAGGGGGCTCCGAGAGAACTTGGAACCGCCTTGTCGGCTATCTTGAACCATCGTCGGCTATCTTGAGCTATATTGGAGGCCATCTTGGGCCGTCTTGGGACCTCTCAGGGCCATTGTGGGCCGTCTCAGGTGCCCTGGCCGATCACGACCTCCCCAAAAAACATTAGAGACGGAGGGGGGAAGTACACCTCCCGGAAGGTACGAGTTTTTCTGGAAGAGGGAAGAAAGAACTCGTTAGACCATCTTAGCCTGAAGGGCGGATGAAGTTCTCATGACTGCTTGGGCTCGGAGAGTGCGTGCGACAGCATGGCCCACTGGGGGGTGCCAGCATCAGACGCGATGATGCTCATGTGGCTTCCTTCCCGTTCGTCCGCATACTGGTGAGGGATGCTTCGACCGACGCAGTGGTTCGCAGCAGTGGTGCTTTTACAGGTGCGCGGACAGCGGCTACCATCGCCCAGTGGGTTGTCGAAGGCGCATTTGTCGACTCTGCTGTCGACCTTGCAGCAGCGGCCTAGGCCGAAATCTGGGCAGTTGTGGGGAAAGCGTGCGCGAGGCGGCAGGCGTGCTGACACTCATCGAGGAGGCGCTGAACCTATAGGGCCACAACATCAAAGATGATAGTCGTGAGTTGTTGCAGGTCTCTCAGCAGCCAGTGGGCTAGTGCTGGTCAGGGATGAACTCGTCATCGTCGGGCGAACCGTGAGCGGCAGTGCAAGTATCCACGCGGATCGAACGGCCTGCTGAAAATCCAGTGGCCTTGGTTCAAACAGCGGCGTCTCCTGCAGACCATCCCCTTGCCTTTCGGATTTCTTGCAGGGGTGAAGACAAGGTTCTCGCGAAGCAGATGGTGCAGAGTCTAGATTGCACCCAGCTCCGAGATGTGACCGAGATGAGCAAGATCCCCTGCTTGCCTTTCGAGGAGTCTCGTCGGTCGAGAGAAAGAAAAAACTCGAGCGGTAAGACTTCACGTCGGCAGGCGGTGGGGCGATGTTGCCGTCTCTCGATGCACAAAGTGGTCGTGACATCTCCCCCGTCACCCAGATTACCCTGCGTCGGAGCTTCTCTGGCGCCACGACCGTGCGTGGTTGTAGCAGCGTCGTGCCTAATTCCGCCAACGCGAATATGGGGAGAAGGCTACCAGGGAGGCCGGACTGAGACCAGAGTGGCCAGAGGGACACCCGCTCGATGGGAAGGGGCATGCGCGGAGGCATTGGAAGATGCCCCAGACAGGCTCCGGACAGGCTCCAAGCGTCCGACGCAGCTCCAGACCACGATCCAGAAATCAACAGGCGAGTGGGGCCAGCGTGTTGTCGCCTCCACCTCCTCCCCGTCTCACCCTCCTCTTCCTCATTCTTCCTACCCCCCTCACCCATGTTATGTTTTTTTGCGTCCGTCGGGCTGTCTGGACCACAGCAGGCATACATGTCCATCGAGGCATAATCTCACACTATAATGCAGCAGTTCGTCTGGTCCCACTTGTTGCATCTTACCAGCGTGATCGAAGCATACTGTCGGATAGGTGATTTTCCAGGTCATATTCAGAAGTTTTGTCGTTCAGGTCGGGTCAGGGTGTCTTCTAGACAGTCTGAGGCAACTGGTGCTCAGTATAGCCAGCGAGAGAGAAGTGCTATATATATGTATATCTATATATTGAGAGAGAGAAAAACAAAAAGAAGAGGACAGGAGAGGGGAGGAGGGGAGGTTGTCCGGCTTGCTTCTGTGAAGGTCAACATTGCCGATCCTTTCTTTTCCTTTGGCTCGGCCAAGTTCCGACAGAGGCCAGTCCGTTTTGAAGTGTAGCTGTTTTTTGGCATGTGTGTGGGTTCCCTTTGGGCGACCAAACTCCTGAGAACGAAGGGCCTGGCAACCAGCTTCTCCCACCACTTTCTGTAGCACGATACGCATTCAGTATTCTTTACCTCAGTGCATTCTGGGCTCGCGGAGGGCCGTGCCGCTGGGCAAGCGACCCGCCAGGGCACTCACTTTCTTCGCGACTTTGCTGGCGAGAGGCTCGCAGGATACGCCTACCTCCGCTTCACGAAGCACGAGTGGGGGGGGGGTGGGGGGAAGAGGCGCGTGAAAAGAAGGAAGCACATAATCTCGCGAAAGAGGGGGACAGCTAAGGTGAGGGAGGAAGGTATACATACACACACATATATATATATATATCCGTATATCTGTCGGTCTGTCTGTCTGCCTGCCTGTCTGTCTGTCTGTCTGTCTGTCTGTCTGTCTGTCTGTCTGTCTGTCTGTATGTCTGCTTGTCTGCTTGTCTGTAGTAGTAGTAGTAGTAGTAGTAGTAGTAGTAGTAGTAGTAGTAGTAGTAGTAGTAGTAGTAGTAGTAGTAGTAGTCGTAGTCGTAGTAGTCGTAGTCGTAGTCGTAGTCGTAGTAGTAGTCGTAGTCGTAGTCGTAGTAGTAGTCGTAGTCGTAGTCGTAGTAGTCGTAGTCGTAGTAGTAGTAGTAGTAGTAGTAGTAGTAGTAGTAGTAGTAGTAGTAGTAGTAGTATAGTAGTAGTAGTAGTAGTAGTAGTAGTAGTAGTAGTAGTAGTAGTAGTAGTAATAGTAGTAGTAGTAGTAGTACTAGTAGTCGTAGTATAGTAGTAGTGGCAGTGGCAGTGGTAGTAGTAGTAGTAGTAGTAGTAGTAGTAGTAGTAGTAGTAGTAGTAGTAGTAGTAGTAGTAGTAGTAGTAGTCGTAGTCGTAGTCGTAGTCGTAGTAGTAGTAGTAGTAGTAGTAGTAGTAGTAGTAGTAGTAGTAGTAGTAGCTTCAGTAGTTGTCGGAGGAAGGGGAGCATGAAGATGATCAATCTCGCGCCCCAGAGCGCTCTCGCCAGACCCGCTGGGTTTCTCCAGCGTCCTGGAGCCGTCTGTGGTTTTCTCCCCGATGTCCGACAAAAGGTCCTGGAAACACGACGTCTCATTCCGAGTCCCTGGAACAGCGTCCATTTCGCCCTTCCGACGGCAATCAGCGCCAGCCGCCCCCACGCCGCGGAGAGCAGGGACGCCGCCGCCATGATCACCGCATACCCCGCCGCCGCCACGGGCGAGGAGGCGCCACCGCCGCAGGGGCCAGCGCCCGCGTCGCCCGCTTCGGGTTCATTACTCCGCGGCCCTCTGTGAGAGGTGCATCCCTGCGCTGGGGCCAGGGCTACCTGAGGCAACACGTTGTTAAGTGCATGCTAATAAGCCTCCTTGCCCTCTCACAGTTTGTGGTTCAACACGAAGGTTTGCGTTTGACTGCCAACGCCCGTCAGTTGAAAATTGTTTCGAAAAAGAGACGTCCTGGATGACTCAAGATGCTCATGCCATTCCGTCGATCTCCAGAAGAGGAGACTTGCTGCTTCCGCTTCGGTGTGTGTGTGTGTTGTCTGTCGTTTTCCAGTCGTGCTGTCTGCGTGTAGTTGTTGCTGATTCGTCCTCCTCTTCTTCCATGCCTCTGACGGGGCATCTTGGGGGCCTCTTGGAGGATTCGGGGGCGGCCTTTTCGGAGTTTTTTGAAAGCTCCTGGGGGCTTCGTTGGGCTCTCTCGGGGCTTCTTTGGTGCCTCGGGGGGGCCTCTCCTCTTGGGTACATGTTGGGGAACTCGGAACCATTTTTACCTAACAGCGAAGACTGACAGGTTTCTAATGGTCTCAAAAGAAAGCATCATGACTCCCCCGGGGGGTCTGGGCACTTCGTGGTCTTCGAGGTCCCAGAACTCCATTCCCGGGCCACATTTTGAATGCCCGGAACCAACTGTAGGCCACTTCGTGGTCTTCGAGTTCCCAGAACTCCATTCCCGTGCCACATTTTGAATGCCCGGAGCCAACTGTAGGCCACTTCGTGGTCTTCGAATTCCCAAAACTCCATTCCTGGGCGTGATTTTGAATCCCCCGAGCCAACTGTAGGCCACTTCGTGGTCTTCGAGTTCCCAGACGTCCATTCCTGGGCATGATTTTAAATGCCCAGAGCCAACTGTAGGCCACTTCGTGGTCTTCGAGTTCCCAGAGTTCATTCCTGGGCATGATTTTGAATGCCCGGAGCCAACTGCAGGCCACTTCGTGGTCTTCGAGTTCCCAGAACTCCATTCCTGGGCATGATTTTGAATGCCCGGAGCCAACTGCAGGCCACTTTGTGTTCTTCGAGTTCCCAGAACTCCATTCCCGGGCCACATTTTGAATGCTGAGGCAGGCTGAGGCTGAGGCTGAGGCAGGCTGAGGCTGAGGCAGGCTGAGGCTGAGGCTGAGGCTGAGGCTGCAGGCTGATGCTGCAGGCTGAGGCTGAGGCTGAGGCTGAGGCTGAGGCAGGCTGAGGCTGAGGCCGAGGCTGAAGGCAGACTGAGGCTGAGGCTGAAGCAGGCTGAGGCTGAGGCAGGCTGAGGCTGAGGCTGAGGCAGGCTGAGGCTGAGGCAGGCTGAGGCTGAGGCTGAGGCTGATGCAGGCTGAGGCTGAGGCAGGCTGAGGCTGAGGCCGAGGCTGAAGGCAGACTGAGGCTGAGGCTGAAGCAGGCTGAGGCTGAGGCTGAGGCAGGCTGAGGCTGAGGCTGAGGCAGGCTGATGCTGAGGCAGGCTGAGGCTGAGGCTGAGGCTGATGCAGGCTGAGGCTGAGGCAGGCTGAGGCTGAGGCCGAGGCTGAAGGCAGACTGAGGCTGAGGCTGAAGCAGGCTGAGGCTGAGGCTGAGGCAGGCTGAGGCTGAGGCTGAGGCAGGCTGAGGCTGAGGCTGTGACTGCGACTGCGACTGCCGTTGCCACTGCGACTGTCATCGCGAATGCGACTGCGACTTCGAGAACAGCAGAATTCTACAACTGGATTCTCATCTTAATCTTAAAGGGAATGCTTCCAGATATGCTCCTGCACATCGCTGTTAGGTTGCTTTGCTGGGATAATGTGGAGCAGGGCTCCTGGGCCCCCCACGAGCTCCCCTTCTTGGGCCTTTCTCGGGCTCCCTCTTGGGGTCCTCGTGGGGGTTTTGTGGGCCGTCTTCAGAGTCTCTTGGGCAGTCTTGGGGCCCCCTTCGGCCGTCTCCGGGTCCTGTCGGGGACCTCTTGGGCCGTCTTGGGCCGGTCTGGGGGGGGGGGCCTCGCGGGCTGCTAGGCTATCAGACGTACTTGTTTCCGGCCATCTTGTGGTGTTGGGTCCTCGTTTCGAAGAGACAGCGCCCCGCGTCACTCACCCCTCCTCCTCCTCCCCCTTCTCCTCCTTCTCCTCCTCCTCCTCCTCCTCCTCCTCCTCCTCCTCCTCCTCCTCCTCCCTGCGTTTCACCCACCCAGTACAGCGTTTCGTGGCCCCATAGGGAGCTCCACCGAAGGCCCCAGTGCCACCGCCCGCATGCGTCACCCACACCCATTCCGGCACACCCAGCACACGTTTCGTGGCCCCATAGGGAGCTCCACCGAAGGCTCCAGTGCCACCGCCCGCATGCGTCATCCACACCCATTTCGGCACACCCCTTGAACGTTTCTCGTGGCCTCATAGGGAGCTCCACCGAAGGCCCCAGTGCCACCGCCCGCATGCGTCACCCGCACCCATTTCGGCACACTTCTCACACGCTTCGTGGCCCCATATGGAGCTCCACCGAAGGCCCCAGTGCCACCGCCCGCAGGCGTCTCCACCGAAGGCCCCAGTGCCACCGCCCGCATGCGTCACTCACACTTACTTCGGCACACCTCTCACACGCTTCGTGGCCCCATAGGGAGCCACACCGAAGGCCCCAGTGCCACCGCCCGCATGCGTCACCCACACCCACTTCGGCACACCCCTCACACGTTCTCGTGGCCCCATAGGGAGCTCCACCGAAGGCCACAGTGCAACCGCCCGCATGCGTCCGCCACACCCATCTCGGCGCACCCCTCACACGTTTCGTGGCCCCATAGGGAGCTCCACCGAAGGCCCCAGTGCCACCGCCCGCATGCGTGACTCACACTTCCTTCGGCACACCCCTCACACGCTCCGTGGCCCTACAGGGAGCCCCACCGAAGGCCCCCGTGCCACCGCCCGCATGCGCCACCCACACTCATTTCGGCACACCCCTCACGCGTTTCGTGGCCCCATCGGGAGCTCCACCGAAGGCCCAAGTGCCACCGCCCGCATGCGTCACCCACACCCATTCCAGCACACCCATCACACGTTTCGTGGCCCCATAGGGAGCTCCACCCAAGGCCCCAGTGCCACCGCCCGCATGCGTCATCAACACCCATTTCGGCACACCCCTTGAACGTTTCTCGTGGCCCCATAGGGAGCTCCACCGAAGGCTCCAGTGCCACCGCCCGCATGCGTCATCCACACTCATTTCGGCACACCCCTCAAACGTTTCTCGTGGCCCCATAGGGAGCTCCACCGAAGGCCCCAGTGCCACCGCCCGCATGCGTCACCCGCATCCATTTCGGTACACTTCTCACACGCATCGTGGCCCCATAGGGAGCGCCACCGAAGGCCCCAGTGCCACCGCCCGCAGGCGTCTCCACCGAAGGCCCCAGTGCCACCGCCCGCATGCGTCACTCACACTTACTTCGGCACACCTCTCACACGCTTCGTGGCCTCATAGGGAGCCACACCGAAGGCCCCAGTGCCACCGCCCGCATGCGTCACCCACACCCATTTCGGCACACCCATCACACGTTTCTCGTGGCCCCGTAGGGAGCTCCACCGAAGGCCACAGTGCAACCGCCCGCATGCGTCCGCCACACCCATCTCGGCGCACCCCTCACACGTTTCGTGGCCCCATAGGGAGCTCCACCCAAGGCCCCAATGGCACCGCCCGCATGCGTGACTCACACTCACTTCGGCACACCCCTCACACGCTCCGTGGCCCCACAGGGAGCTCCACCGAAGGCCCCCGTGCCACCGCCCACATGCGCCACCCACACTCATTTCGGCACACCCCTCACGCGTTTCGTGGCCTCATAGGGAGCTCCACCGAAGGCCCCAGTGCCACCGCCCGCATGCATCACCCGCACCCATTTCGGCACATCACCTTCACGTTTCGTGGCCCCATCGGAGCTCCACCGAAGGCCCCAGTGCCACCGCCCGCATGCGTCACCCACACCCATTCCGGCAAACCCATCATACGTTCCGTGGCCGCATAGGAAGCTCCACCGAAGGCCCCAGTGCCACCGCCCGCATGCGTCACCCACACTAAAGTCGGCCCCCCCCTCACGCGTTTCGTGGCCCCATGGGGAGATCCACCGAAGGCCCCGGTGCCACCGCCCGCATGCGTCACTCACACTTGCTTCGGCACACCCCTCACACGCTTCGTGGCCCCACAGGGAGCCACACCGAAGGCACCAGTGCCACCGCCCGTATGCGTCACCCACACCCATGTCGGCACACCCATCACACGTTCTGTGGCCCCATAAGGAGCCCCACCGAAGGCCCCAGTGCCACCGCCCGCATGCGTCACCGACACCCATTCCGGCACACCCGTCACACGCTTCGTGGCCCCGCAGGGAGCTCCACTGAAGGCCCCAGTGCCACACGTTTCGTGGCCCCATAGGGAGCTCCACCGAAGTCCCCAGTGCCACCGCCCGCATGCGTCCACCACACCCATGTCGGCACCCCCCTCACACGTTTCGTGGCCCTATAGGGAGCTCCACCGAAGGCCCCAGTGCCACCGCCCGCATGCGTCACCCACGCCCATGTCAGCACACCCCGCACTCTGTGCGCCCTGGTTCGCATGCGCCCATCGCACTTATTTCATCATCACCATCATTATCTTCGTCATCATCAACATCATCGTCATCGTCTTCGTCACACCTCTCACACGTTTCGTGGCCACGCAGGAAGCTCCACCTGAGGTCCCAGTGGCGCAGTCCGCATGCCGCCGCCGCCCCATCTCGGCACACCCCTCACACGTTTCGTGGCCCCATAGGGAGCTTCACCGAAGGTCCCAGTGGCGCAGTCCGCATGCCGGCGCCGCCCTCTTTTGGTACACCCCTCACACGTTTCGTGGCCACGTAGGAAGTTCCACCTGAGGTCCCAGTCGCGCAGTCCGCATGCCGCCGCCGCCCCATTTCGGCACATCCCTCACACGTTTCGTGGCCACATAGGGAGCTCCACCTAAGGTCCCAGTGGCGC